AATGTCTCTTTTTTATTCGGAAAACTGACGGTGGTAATCGTTCACAATTTGCGGAACAGATTGTGTTTGTTCTTTGTGAATAATTTATTATAATTTTCCATCACAATTGAACATTCCTTTCTGTCGTATTCATCATTAACTCCTAATTTATTCACTACTTCCAACTTTTTTGGAAACAAGTGTTTCCAGACCAAGTTGATGTGTTTTGATTTTGTTTACAAAAACTGTTCATCTAATTCAAATTTTTTAAAAAAATTTTTAGTTTAGACGGAAACGAAGTATTAAAATCCCTTTATAAATAAATTCAAGAATTTCTTTATCTTTTATTAATAGTTACTTAATATTTTATTTACTATATTTTATTTAATATTTTACTTAATATTTTCATTATGATTCACGATTAAACATCAAATCATTTTATATATTATACAGAGTGTTTCCTTTAACTTGATCATTTAAAATATCTCCGTTGTCTTTGATGATACGGGAAAATACAGGGAAAAGTTATTCGATTGGAAGATGAAAACAAAAAATTATGATAAGCAAAAAATTTCTCTCAAGATAGTTTTTGAGATTTCAAGGTCGCGATTTTTTTAAATGGAATAGCTTATTTTCATTAATGTATTAATGTAGATCATAAAAATACAAATTCAATTATATATGATATGTTGTCCTTCAGATGATCTTGGACATAAAAACATCACATTTATATGGGAAAAAGAAGAATTAACATATTTAAGTGTTTTCAATGAAGATATTTATTTGCTTCAATTTAGAAGATGTTTAAAATGATTGTCATTGAACTTCCATACATTTTCGAATACAATAAATAAATGATTGTTTCGCATTTTCAATTTTCGGGTGATTTTGATTGATGTCGATACATGCACGTCAAATTCTTTCTTGCATGTTTTCCGGTGTTGTAGGAATATCACAATAAACTCGATAACTATCATCCTGGAATCATTTGTCGACAACTGATGATGTATGTGAATTGTTAGTTACTGCCATCAAAATAAAGGTTTTCGTCTTTTTGTCGTGGATGATTGTAAACATTACTTGTGCTAGCTCGCAAAGTTGTGTCCATTTCACAATATGTTTACAAACATTTACCTAGGAACAAGAATCACCATAAATACTTAAAGACATTTAGTGTAGTTTTGACATCGCATTAAGTAGTTGTTTCAGCATCATACGCATTTCTGCAATATCAAGAAAAAAACGTATACTTTAAAAGAAAAAATAGAAATGGTTTTAATTTACGGAGAACCTCAGTGGTTCTCCGTAAGAGAACCTCGAAACTCAGTGCGAGCTACACAATTGTATACGGAAAAATATCCTGATCGTCACTGTCCATACAGATACATGTGATAAAATTAAGTCATTTTGCGAATCAGGCAGTGTCCATCAAGCTGAAAGAAATCGTCAGAAGACAAAATGTGGCAAAGAAGCGGAAACCTTTTTTTGGCGGTAATAACTAACAATTCACATATTACAATAGTTGTTGATAAATCGCTTCTCAATGTAATTTGTCTGCTAAAAGTGTCTAGAAAATGTCGAAACGCTATAATTTTCATCCTTATCGCATATGCTTATATCAATCTCTTGGTGATAACGATTTTTAAAATAGGTAAAGATTCTGCGAATGAGCCCTACATCAGTTTGGAGATTGATCAACAATTCTTCGATTATGTGTTGTTTACATACGAATCATCTTTTACAAATCATGGACAGTTAAATACACATAATGTACATTATTTGGACCGTTGACAATCCACATTGACTTCGACAAATACATCAACTGCCATAAAGTGTAAATGTCTGGTGTGATATTATTGGAAATCGCGTTATTGATTTATTTTTTTTTAAGGAAATTTAAATATTAAAAAATATGCAAATTTTTTAAGAGATGAGTTATATATATTATTAGATGAAGTTCCATTGAGCCACTGTATTAGAATGTGGTTACAGCAGAATGGTTGTCCAACCACATAATGCACTTATTTACAACACAATGTGCTTAATAGAATGTTTTCCAATCGCTGGATTAGTCGTGATAGAATTTATTGGCCGGCTCAGTCGCTAGACCATACATCACTTGACTTTTTTCTATAGGAATACTTAAAAAATCGAGTTTATTGTTATTTATTAATATTCCTACTACACTGGATTAACATGCAAGAAAGAATTTGACGTGCATGTATCGACATCAATCAAAATCATCCGGAAATCATTGAAAATGCAAAAACATCATTTATTTATTGCATTCAAAAATGTATAGAAGTTGGCAGTCATTTCGAACATCTTTTGAACTAAAGTAAATAAATATCTTCATTGAAAATACTTAAGTATGCTAATTCTTCTTTTTTCTATATAACTGATTTTTTTATGTCCAAGATCATCTAAAGGACATAAGGTTGAATTTGTTTTTTTATGAACTACATCAGTGCTCGGAATTAGTTGCCCATTTCGGGTAGATTCTTGAGGCGATCCCCACTACTATTCGAGACTCGAGGAAATGGGCAACTAATTCCGAGCACTGAACCACATTAATGAAAATATGCTATTCCATTAAAAAAAATCGTGATGATCTTGAAATCTCAAAAACTATGACGTTGAGAACAATTTGTTGCTCATCATAATATGTGTCCCTTCCACAATTGAACAACTTTCTCCCGTAATATTTTCCTATATCATCAAAAACAACGGAGATATTTTAAATGATCAAGTCAGAGGAAACACCCAGTATATACAGATTGATCCAAATTAATCGCACGGGACGACATGTACATATTCCTCATGAAAAAGTGAGTCGAAAATGTCAATAGCAAAATGTTGTGGTACTCAATAGTTTTTCAACGATGAGCCAGATAATGTCCAACCACAGAGCACATGAAATTGGCGCCGTCATAAGCGGCGCAGCTAAGCAGTTGACCGCGCAAACGCTTTGATGACTAAACGGACCAAATGAGTTTGGTAAAATCTCTGTATAATACAAATAAATTTGTAAATAAAATCAATATTAATTAAATTAGCCAAACAAATAATATTAAAAATATCGACACATGTTTCTAAAATTTCTTTTTTGTCACACATAACATTAGAAAAAATTTACATTTGAAATACGCATTTGCTGTAAATAAATATTAACATTTACTGCAGTATTTTTAAATTGAGTCTGATCCAATTGATGGAGAGTAATGTCAATTGCAAATTTGGTACAACGTCATTTATATCAGTACAAAGGATTTTTGAAATATTATATAATATGTTTTAAGTAATAAACAAATTTGTAAATAAAATCAATATTAATTAAATTATCCAAACAAATAATATTAATAATATTAATCGACAAATGTTTCCAAAACTTTTTTTCTGTCACAAACAACATTAAAAAAAATTTACATTTGAAATACGCATTTGATATAAATAAATATTTTAGATCTAAGAAATGAAATGAACAAAATTCCGAATTACGATAGGATAGAAAAGGGAAAAAATAAAGTGAAAAAACCGAAGTAAGTAATAAGCTATACTATATAAGCTATATTATTAAAAATTAAAATTTTATAATAGGTGTTCAAAATAGCTACTACTCACTTCAACACAAAGTTGAGCACGTTTGATAAAACTCTCTCTCAATCGTTGAATCATGTTGCAAATGCTTCATGGATACAATTACTCAATTCTTTCTTGGATAGTATCAATAGGCATACGTATTCTTTTATTGTTCCCTATAAAAAAAAAATCAAACGAAGTTAGATCTGGTGACCTCCGCGGCCAATCCATATATCAGGAAATTTTCTATTTAAAACTTCCCGCGTGCCTCTTGCATTGTGTGGAGGTGCTCCGTTGTGTTGAAACCACATAACTCGTCATTCCTTCAATGATATATCCTTAAGTAATTCGGGCAATTCTTCGGGAAGGAAATCACTATAAATTGCATTGTCAACTCTTATAGGAAGTTGGAATGGTCCAATCTGTATAGATATCTTATTGTTATTATAATTTTTTTAGAATTATTAATATAATTTTTTCACAATTAATTATCATTAATTATTACGCAATTTAAAAAAAAATATGTAACGTTATACACGAAATGTGAAAATGTAAACGCAACTATAAAATAGCAACTTTTAAAAATATCAATCGGCTAAATAATTTTCTAGACAAACATAACTATGAATTATTGTATATATGCTTCCAATGCTTCAATTTTTAATATGTAGTATAATAAAGTAAAACATGTGAGGTGCATTTATTAAAAATAATACTTGCCACAGAATTCTTGTACATGCCAGCCTACAGGCTTAATGCTAAATTTGTGTTGATAACTTCTTATGTTGTACACATGTGGATTTTCATCTAGAAATGAAAATTATGAATATTAAAAGTCCCTTCTCTTATAAACAGCGATCAACATCGATAAACAACAACGATAAACATTCGTCAGTAAACAAGTCACTGCAAATATATGAAACAAGCAAATATATGAAACAATACGATCTGCGTGTCCGGGCGCTCGTGTGCGCGCTCGTTCTCCGAGCCAGAAGGATGCGCGATTTCGCTGACGGTTTGCGACAGTAACGGACAAAAATTGTCACGTCACAATATATATATATATATATATAATATATATATACACATATATATATATATATATACGTATACTATTTTTATATTTTCGTAATATATTCACAGAAGTGCAATTAATGCAACTCGGGCACATCCTGTTTTTTTCTTTCATTATAATCCAGTTGATAACTTTCAGTCCATCTTATGTGTCTGGCGTAATAAAATATTGGTATTTATTTCGTATTTTGTTTTTGGTTAAAGAAGAATGTAATATTTCGTACCTTTTTATGCATTTGGCGTATATATATATATTTCTTTTTTTTAATAGATTATTTTAAGGATTGTAAATTGAAAAAATATAGTAATATGGAATGTAAATTTTCCAAAAATAAATACAGATTATTTCTAAAATTATTACGTTATAGTGAAATAGCAGAATAAGAAGAAGAATTCGGGCCCCGCACGTAATCCATAGAGGGCAAAATAAACACTCAGATGAAAGAATATTTTGTATGAAGTTTTTTTATTCTAAAAGAGCTACATTTCGAGATATCGAGAAAAAGTGATCTTGGTAAATGTTCACCTTTACACAGCCTGCTCCAAATGACCTTGATTCTCAAGGAAGTCAAGGTCACTCACCTTTTCCATCGCTCGTTATTCATTAAAAAGTTATTAATGAAAACGTTTTTATGAATAATAAGTAATTTTTAAACTCTTCCTTAATGTACCATGGTTGGGTTAGAGTTTGATTATTATATAGTTTGATTAATAAGAACACTTTTAATCTATTTTAACATACGACCGATGTACTTATTTCGACTGAATGTAAAAAATTTTTTCGTTTTGAAAGGATGTTTAATTACTGAAGATGGCCAGATTGTGGCCGAAACATTTAATTGCTTATTTATTGATATGGGTATTGATTAACGCTTGAATAATTCATTATTGAATAAAGTTTTAATCATCACAACCGACAACCTGTGCTGTGGTTTTTTATGTTCTTTGTTTTTTTAATAATTATTATATACTCATGGGTAATTTTGGATTCCTCTTATTTTTTATTTAATAATATTATTTACAAACAGAATTTTGGCAAGCTTATCGGCTCTCCTTTGTCACCTATTATCGCTAATTTGATAATGCAAAGATTAGAGAAGATAAGTATGTTTAAGAATAATGTTTTTTTTTCTATTATCGATGTGTCGATGACCTATGCGCTGCAGTGTTATCATCTGTGGTTGATACTTTTCTGGAATGTTTTAATTCGTTCCACCCGTGTCTAAAACTCTAGAGGTTAGTGATAATTTACTAAATTTTCTTAACATTAAAATGACGATTAAAAATAATCTTTTAATTTTTGACTGGTATCATAAACTTAGTTTCGCGGGGAGATTTTTAAATTTCTTCTCTGATTATCCATTATCTCAAAAAGAGGATGTAATTATCAATTTGATGGATAGAGCTACCTTACTATCGGATTCTGAATTCTACATGAAAAATTTAACACTTATAATAAACATTTTACTGAATAATGATTATTCACTTAAATTTATCTTTGACATAATTAATAAATAACATCAGAGTCAGAAGTGCAGCACTGATTGATCGAGCTAATAATAACATTGATACATCAATCGTTTTATCATGATTTACGGTGCCTTTTATTCCATCTTTAACAAAAAAATGTAATAAATTTAATAGGAACATTAAAGTATTATTTTAGCATCCGATCTTCGCAGGCGCATAGCACCCGTTCTTTACAAACGCACAGCACTCTATCAGCACACGGCAATCTTATATCGGAGCACAGAAGACTTATATTGAGAGAGGAAGAAAGGGAGGGAGCGAGGGAGGGAGGGAGAAGGGAGGAAGAGAGAGAGAGAGAGAGAGAGAGAGAGAGAGAGAGAGAGAGAATAACTCAGTAATAAATACTTACCTGTAATTTCTACTGAAAGTAATATTCTAGGCAAAAGAAATAAAAAGAGTGATGAAAAGAGACATTATAAAGGATTAATAAAAAAGAACCAATAAATGTAAAAAACACATTAGTAATTAATTTTTCAGAAGATAAATAGTATTGATCTATTTATAACGAAGTTTGTTCGCGTTGCATGCTTCAACATCCGGTAAAAAATTTTTCATATATTAATATACATAAACATAATAAAAAATATGTATAAACATACAGGGTGGGCCATCTATTGGTACGTTTTTAAAAATGCGATCAAATGAGCATACATTGATATTTTTTATTAATTTTTTTTTTGTTGTGAAGCTAAAAGTATCCGCGTCAAGAATGAAAAACGATTTCGTTCATGTGGCTCCCTCTACTGGCCTTACAGTATGCCATTCGGTCACCCCAATTATTAATGACATTTTGGACTACCTCGGCGCCAATTTCACTCAAAACAGTCGTAATATAATGTCATCCACTAACATCCCTTTCTCACGAACTTTCCTCACCAATTTGCGTATAGCTCCTTCGGTGGGTGCTCTATCACGATCCATATTTCTTTTCAAAATTCGTACAGTTTCGGCGACACAGCACTGACTTTGAAAATAAGTTTTTAAAATTTCAAAACGCTCTTCAAGAGAAAACATGTTGTTTCGTGCCGCGGACGGTATGACTAATAAACTGTCAAAATTTCGGGTCTGTAGCTCGTTCGGTGTTGCCATACGACGAAATTCAAAAACGTACCAATAGATGGCCCACCCTGCACATAAATATTTATAAACACTTATAATCATATATGATATATGTGCATACATATTCAAACAATTAGTGTACACAATAGAAATAAACAATAGTAATGTGATAACATAAAAAATAATTAAAGGGATAATTTTCGCATTATTCCTTTTAGATTGGAAAATCATACATAATTATGCATAATTTTATTATAGTTTTATTATACATAAGTAATTTTTTTAATTTCTTCAAACTTGATTTTTTATTCTAAAATAAATAGTATAAGAATTATCCTTTTAATTATTTTTAACGTTTTCACATTACTATTGTTATTTCTATTATCTAATATACTACAAAGTAATTTTACAAAAGAAAAAAGTTTGTATGTGTGGACATATTTCATATAAAATTATGTATATTTATACATATTTATACATATTCATGCATGAAAAATTTTTTACTCGGCATGCTCCTACTTATTCTTACCCTCCTGCTATAATAGCAGATGGGAGCATGTTGGAGCATACGATGCGTATTTATTAATTATATTATAGTATTTATTTATGATTTTCACAAAAAATATATCTAATAATTGGAAAAATCCATTTTTAAATAAAGAAAAATTAAATGTGCAGCAACAACAAATTGATAAAGATTTTACTTGCGCAGAGCTAGAAATTGAATTAGATGCAGAATTGAAGAAGCATTCAAAAAATATTTATATTTACAAAAGATGAGGTACATTTTTTTTATCAAAAACATGTACATATTCATTATTGTTTATGATAATTAGCAATACAGAAGGATAAAATAAATTCAAAAAATTGCGCATTCTGAAGAAGTGCTTGTATTTAAATAATTATTAAGCTCAAGCATTACAATTTTTTTCAAAAAATAAGACCTATCATTCTAATCCTTTTACACTTTTAATTATTCCTCCCTTTTAAAAAAACTATAACTCATCTCGTGACATTTCACAATTGTCATTTTCTTAATAAATTGTGTATAATTAGAAAATTTGTGTTTATCCAAATTAATAGAAAATTTGTACTTATCCGAAATCAATATAAAAAATTTACCTGTTATATAAACTTAATTAATATTTCAGGGAATGAAAGAGGATGAAATTACGAACTAAAAGTTTTTTTCCCAATTTTGACTTCACCATTATTTACCGAATTATTGGGTGCATTCAGTATGATGACCGCTCAGTGAGCTCTTGATTCTGTTTGGTCTATATTTTTAAATCTAACGAAATATATCAATCAGATGCAAAAACTTAATGAATGCTCAGGAATGATCGTTGTACTAAATACACCTATTAACGATTGATGAAAATTGATCAATCAGATAGCGCGCAGCTGGAGTATGCTATAGGATTCCTCACGCTTACTATGTAAATATTCTCCTGAAATTTTATTCTAAATAAGCATATAAAATATATATTAAAATAAAATAAAATCTATTTAAAATAAAATAAAGTCAGACATTAACGTAGTCATCAATAGAGTATTATTTCAGTTTATGATTGTGTCGCAAGTCCGACTGTGTTCAGCATGCTGTTTAAAATTTCTTAACTTCTTCCCTTAATTATTTGATGTATTCAAGATATGATCGAAGAACTTAATAAATAAATATCTACTAATTAAGCAATTAATTTTATTATCAATCGTCATTTAATAAAAATTAAATAAGTAAAATTTTCCTTCAACTTTCCCGCATACCCTCTTTCTAAAGTCTATTCTATGATGTGATTTTTGTTTTCTGTTTATTGCTCTTTGCTATTTTTTACATCTTGTCTTTTTGCTTTTTATCCGGTTTTTTGTTTTATGTCGCACGAGATAAAAGTTAACGAACTTCAGAAGAAATAATAAACACGTAGCAAGAAGTACAATTGTCAATAAAACAGTTGTAAAGGAAAATAAAAGCAACAGGTAAAAAACAAGAAACAGGAAACAAAGAGCACATTGTAGATAAGCTTAAAATAAGAAAATTTTTCTAGTAGCAAGAAAATAAAAAATAATGAATGACAATAATTGATGTAATTTATTAAATTAAATGTTAGATTCATCGAGACCATATACATTGAATATATCAAAGCCGAACACAGTGGAACTTGCAATGCATAAACTGAAATGATAATCTGTCGCAACATTAATGCCTAATTTTATTTTATTGGGAGTATAAATTAGTTCGGTTCATTTTCCAAAAGATGGTTCCGGCTGTTGTGAATGGTTCATAGTGACAAATGATTTTGGCGTTTTCAGAGAGGTTAGACATCTGCTAATAATATTCAGTTTATATCGCTTTGAGTTTCATACAAAAACCTTGATTTTTACTGTGTTTGAAATGTCGAATTTTGTGTTAATCAAGCAGCATTTGCGGGAGGTTCTAATTTTGCTTTAATTGGAAGAAAAGTGTAGCTGAAGCCCATCGAATGCTTTTATGGTGACACTGCTCCAACTGATAAATCATGGTTTCGACATTTCAAGGATGGAGATTTCAACGTTGAAGACAAGCCTCGCTCTGGACAGCCAAAAAAATTCGAAGACAAAGAATTAGAGGCATTACTCGAAGAAGATCAGAGTCAAACGCAAGAGGAGCTTGCAGAATCATTGGGAGTAACTCAACAAGCC